TGCATGAGGAAGAATTAAATACTGCACCAAATGAGGCGAGAAATGATTTTGACAACAAATTAAGATAAATGGTACATTTTATGCTTAATTCCGAGGTCTGTGAAATGGTGGAAGGAAGATATATAATCTCAAAAGTGAAACAAGCTATATAAAATTTAATATATTATATTATATTATATTATATTATGTATTAAACATAGTATATATAAAATGTCTGATATATCCAACTGGAGGGATTGCAAAGTCTACTTAGATGAGGTTGAATTCCATTTCTTTATTGTAAGAAGTTTTGCTTTAGGGTTCATTGTCAGACTAGCCTTTAAGTAAAAGTTGTAATGGCCCTAGGTCACACAAGGTGATTAAGAGCTGGTAGTTAAATTTTCCCGCATTTATATAAATCGGCCTCATGTTTATACTAAATTTCACTTGGCCTTTATATTAAAAAAGTATTCACATCCAGGATGGACTGAACTGAAGTTTTCACCTCGCCTAAGTTTCATCAGCACCCTCAGTGGAACTCGAACCCAAGTAGTGCAATGTATAATCGCAACACCTTACCACAAGATTACACCTCCGCAAATGTTTTTGAGTCGCAAGGCAGACATAAAATTCATTAGATTTGGGTGTCTCTTAGTGGGAAAATCCAACTATCAGATCATCATCTTATACTATCCAGTGTAACTGGAACTCTCGTTTAGTATTTAATTAAAGTAGTCATTAAGAATATGGAATTTAGGTATTTCGGGTATTATTGTAGTTAACTGTGGTTAAAATACCCTATTGAATTATTATATTCTCAGGAGACGAATCAGAACATCACATTTCACGTTCCACTTTTATATATTATGTGAATTCGTTCTAAACCTATAAAAGGTTAGACTTTAGTTTAACACGATTGCTTAATTGGTATATATATATATACATATATCCCATAAATAAATTGTCTGTATTCGCCTTCTATGATTGATTGTTCCAATCACTTTAATCCTTTTGTGATAAAAGTGCTATGAGGTGCTGCGAGACGCGATGACTTCTCTGCGAAACCAGCCCTCGCCAGATGGCTCTCTCTTCCAGAAGGTGCATGCACATGTGCTGAATCCAAAGTCAATAACCATGGGGCAGCTTTACGGCGAATTTGATATGATGACACACGAATGGACGGACGGCATCCTCAGCACCCTGATCCGGCATGGTGTATCAGCGGGAGAGCTGGACAAAAGATGGTACATTTTTGATGGGCCTGTAGACGCTGTATGGATTGAGAACATGAACACAGTTCTCGACGACAACAAAAAGCTCTGTTTGAGCAGTGGTGAGATCATCAAGCTGACCGAAGAGATGACAATGATATTCGAAGTGGCGGATCTAGCCGTTGCATCGCCAGCCACAGTCAGTCGATGTGGTATGGTCTACCTGGAACCGGGCGGTCTGGGTCTACAACCGTTCATAGATTGTTGGGTAAGCAGGCTACCAGATGCCATCTATGGATACCGCGAGAAACTTAACCTGCTCTTCGCTACCTACCTTGAGGTAATTTCTTTGACTATTATTATTATTTTTACTCATGTGTTATTATCACAGTTTCTCTCTTTACTTACCTATGGCTAACAAAAATGATGATTGCAACATAAAATAAAACTACTACTCCTACCATTAAATGAGATATATTCACCCTATTTCGTTTAAGGTGATAAGGACTGGTAGTAGAATTTTCCCTCAATGATATGAGTAGAGCTGACGTTTTCATTGAATTTCACAAAGCCTTGCTTTCCCAAAAGTTGTTCTCATCCAGCACAGTCATCCGGTTTACTCTGACAATTTTTTCCGATCCTTACCTTATTTTATAGCTATATTCTTTCGCAAATACTCAAAGGCTCACTGATATTCTCACTATAATAAGCTATAATTATCGCATAATCCGTTAAAATGCGGTTTGTAAGAATTGTTAAAGCAAATTAATCAAATTCATCTTGACTAATCCACAAATTTCAAAGAAAAATCTTCTCAGAAAGCCTCTTTAAAGTTTAATAGAATTATAGAAGGCATTACTTTCATGGCAAGTAACTTATGTATAATCACTGCTAAGAGAAAGCTACATAATCTGCGTGTAGGCAATGATGACTAGTATAGCAAAAATGAATAAATATAAGGCTCGAATTTAACAGTGAATTCCACTAATTTATCTTGATTGAGTTGGATAAATCTCAGCAGCGATCCCATAGCAAATCAAACGCGCACCACGTAGCTTCAAAGGACAACATGCTGCCACTTAAAGCAGACAGACCTGGAATGGTAAACTAATTTTAAACAATCATTTTGATACTTGTAGAGGCAATTAGCAAGCACGAGGCCCTCTATTAATGAAATGTCGCAATTAAGAAGGGCGATTTAACTAGTCTCAAGGTTTGAAAAGGCGTGTGATACACTGACGTCGTGGCATTGTAATCTCTAAAGCAATTAATTTGGCTACGAACTTAAAATTTCAAGTTAGAATCTCGTTGAAATTATCTTCTGAGGGAAACGATCTTTCGAGATGCATAAAATACTAAAAGTGAGAGTAAAATAGAATTATTTATACTACATTATAATTAGTTTAAGTATCGGCGTCGGTAAGACTATGCCGAAAGTGATGCATCTGGTCAAGAATCTACTTCATAATAGCCCCAGTAAGTGTATAAGAACGGGCGGTGGACAGGTTATATGTGCTTCCATTAATAATATCTTGATGAAAACTGATTTATCTTCTTCAAATTCCATTACTAAGAATAGTACGTAGGCTCATTACAGAAAGAAATTTGACTACCAAATCTGAAATTTCATTTCCGTAAGCTCGGAAGCAGGTACTTTGTTAGAAGTGGGTTGACCTCGTTTTTGCAACTTGGTCTTGTTGTCAGGGGACTTAGTAGAACGCACCTTTTCCGAAGTCCTCTGCAGCATTATTCATCATAATTCCTTCAAACATGGTGCGTTTTACTAAGTTGCCCTGACAACAAGACCAAGTTGCGACAACGAGTTCAATTCACTTCTATAAATCAAAAGGAGACTGCGACCATACCGGGGGCAAAACCATCTTGGTATTTATATCTCAAATTACTTTGTTAACCTAAAATTCCCTATGCATACATATAAAGTTAAAAATCTTAATTTAATATGCTCAAATACAGGAGCTAGTATGAAATATAAATTAAAACAGTGTATCGACATTTCACTTGATAGTATCCTATATCTGATTGTAGGCCTATTTAATTCACTAGATTACTACTGGCATAATGCTGTCTTACTTATTTTAATGGCAATTTTCCAACTTTCCTCCATTTCTTAGGAATCTATAAACTTTATCAGAACTGAAACAAAGGAGGTAATTCCAACAACAGATGGACAGTTGTGCTTCAACTTTCTTCGACTGATGGATTGCTTCTTCAAACCATTTACTCCTACTGAGGTATTAATCAATTCTTCTCCTTGTAGTTCACATTTACAGTAGAATACGCATTATTTTCATCGAGTTTAATTGAGAAAGTGTAAGATTGTTAGAATCATCCAGTTGGGGGCTTAAACTTCATTGTAGCCATACCTTACGGATTTAATTGTATATTCGATTTAGCATTCTATGCAATACGTCTTTAAATGGCCACAAGAACTGACGAAAGTGATGACATCAGAAATGGAAGCAGACGCACTGAGTCTTACTATATACCAACTCCTCCTCGGGTTGTGAGTATTTTGAACAAATAGTGCATCATTCTTCTCTTCAAATGTTGGCCTATTTTATCAACTGCCAGAAATTCACGTTTTAGACCCTAACGACTTGTTGATGATGCTCTAATACAGTAAACTAAGAAAAAGTAATTTCCTTCCAATATATTTCGATAGTCTGAAAAAGCTTCTATCAGAGGACCGGGTGAATTTAGCTGATACTATTCTACATTGTCTTGATTGGGCAATGGGCTCAGGAAAGCTGAATATTGTAACGAAGAGCATCAACGTATAGTCGAGGATATTTTCGTTAATTGATCTGGTGGCAATTGCTGAATTGCTAGACTTTTGATATGCTTAATGCATAAAATTACATGTATTAATCCCCTATCTTTTTTATTTGATACAGTGTTACAATTAGGCCTGAAATTAATATGTGTAGAAGTGGGTAATCTAGCGTAAATTTCGACGAAGTGTTTAATTCTTCTATTCTTAGGTGTGCTAAAAATATCTTATTACGTAAGACGCACAGTAATTTTCGCCAGCTCTAAAATACCAGATTGTCAAAATCATTCGTCCTACTATTTATAGAGAGTGGGTCACAGGCATGGTAACTATTTATGTAAACATTTTTCCTTGCAAAAACCCGTATAACTTCTTATTTTTACTTTTTAAACGTGCCTAGAATAATTCCCTAGAAAATTTTGCCCTTGCCAATAGTGGCTCATTAAGTTCTTTTATAATATCCACTGAACTTCATTTAATCTTAAAAACTACTGGTTCAGCTTTGGTATCCTTTAAAGCATATGTAAGGACAAGAGTAGCAAATAATTCAATCTATTTAGTTAACCCGTCTTGGGCAGCGGATAAAAAGCAAGATATCACACCCATAATAGCTTCTGATATTAGCAGAAAAGTTTTTTTGCTAAAATTTATCTTGCTATTATTATTGCTAGCCATAACTTATATTTATTTATGTTTTTCGAAATTCATTCATTAACAGCAGTCTGGAGCATCATCGGCTGGCAGACGACGCGCAGCTCGACATGAGGTTGGTATATATTAACTATTGCCTCTGGCGTTTGAGCATAATGTAACACTAAATTTGCGTCATTAATACCAATATGCATAAAATTTCCATGGTTCTCTTCCTGGCCTTACCAATAATGTTGGGTGGTCAGAAGACCCCTAAGCTGTTTTTCTTGCGCTTAGTTAATCATTTACGACAAACTAAACAACAAATGGAAGTTGCTTGACCTTCTTTTTTGCAACTTGGTCATATTGGTAGGGGAGACCTAGAGGAACGCACCTAGTCCGGAGTCCATTGTATCATAATCATTTCCAGAGTCAAACCGTGGACCTGATACATTTGCAGACTTTTAGCCGGTATCGTAGTCGGCATCGTCAGTGATACCTGCCAGTCTTAGCACCATAATACACGTGTATGATCAAATACGTCTACCCTTAGGCATTCAGCCCTTATGCTGGCAAACAAGAGACTAGGGCATAGGAAATCATAGACTTGGTCTTATGGCTGGAAGTACGATAGATTCAGCGGGGACTATAACTAGTTGCCCAACCGTAGGCATGTTTGCTTATAGACGTGATCCATGAAACTAAGACTTGCCCATGACTCGGGCTCTTTAGCCTCAAGTTAGTCTCGAACCCAGTTTAAGAATCCTGATTTTTAGAGGCCTGCTCAACGAGGCGGGAGTAGGTCTGCCATCAAAGGCTTGCGACAATGTAGGAAATAACGCTTCGAGTAGTACAGATAAGGCGGCAAGGATCAAGTGAAATACCTGATCCAGGAAGTTAGGAGGTGGATCCTACGGGGCAAGGGGAGACTGATAAGGCCCATTGGAAGAGGATTGCCGGGTGAGTTTGGAATTTGGAGAGTTCCCATGACATCCGCTAAAAAAGGGAGCACAATAACACATTTAAATAATAAATTCTGATCGTGAATGGGTGATACGAGGATATAGGATTGATGAGTAGTCCAGGGCAGAATGAGAGATATTGTAACTATTTAACAGACAATTGGTCAAAGGATCGGCTACATTTGTCCCTTAGACGAGTTGTAATGTGGTGCTAAGAGTGGCATGGCTCACTGACGATGCCGGCGAAACGTCTGGGAATGTACCAAGTCAATGTTCCGACTTTGGAAATGATGATGCATAAAATGGACTCCGAACTAGGTGCATCACTCTAGAGCTTCATACCAATATGGCCAAGTTGCGAAAAAAAGGTCAAACAACTTACTTGCAACAAAAAGAGACTGCGACCATACAAAATGCCATACCATCTTGAGCTTCATACCTTTGATTAAATAACAAATGGTTGTTCTGTTATGGGATTTAATATAAATATGACTTGTGTCCAACAACGCAAAGATTTAGCAACAAGCCATTCGCATCGATACTAATGAAGTATTTTCTGAGAATAGTAGAGATAACGAGCGCAATCTTCTGCATCTAATAAGTCTCATTAAGTCTTTTAACTAATACATATTAGACATTTAAAACTAATTTCCACTTTGGAATTTATTATCAATTCATACATATTACAATCTCCATAATCCATTTCTATTAGGACCAGGATCTTCGGTCGCTCTTAATACTACCAAAAACAGGAACAGACGAAATATCTTGATATCCTCCATATTAATAACAACGAATAATCATGACCAATTCTTATAAGTGACAACCTTACAGACGGTTCTTTTTTTAGTATGATAGTTTGCAAGCCTTAAGCATGGATAGCAAGCCACAACAAATATCACTAATTTAATTACTGACACAAGGAACCTCTCGTCTTTATGATAATCATAAAAGACTATTTTACTGCAAGCAAAGCTAAATCGATTGGCATAACAACATTTACAAAAATGGGTAGATAATATTTAAGAAAACAGAAAAGCAATTGTTACTAAACAGAAGCCAGAGTGAAGCTCTGGTAAAATAAGAGGTCAAGTCTGTGAAATATTGCATTTGTAGCCTAATGGGGACTGCCGAATTGCTATGCATTGTGGCTTGTTCATTGAAATTGTTAACTTGGAATTATCGCATCGCTCAGATCCAGATACAAGTATTTAGTGAGTTCATTGGCGTTTAGTCTAACTCTCATATAACTGCTTATTATAGATATCTGAAGTGCATTTTAACACTGGTGCAAATCATCAGAATTTAAAATAAATTTATATGGAGAAAAGCCTCCAAAGGATGATAATAAATGAAAAAAATCATGAAAATTACATTCCTTCATTTTAACACTTGAAAGTTTTCTGAATGAATAAGCATGCATATTTAAAAATCCTTAATGTTTCATCTTACCATCATCACCATTAAAAAAATGTCCCATCACATTCTTATGATTAGCAAAAGACACAAAAAAATCTTAAAGCTCCGTTACGACCCCTTCAAAGTGCAGAAAAGAGACATGTAAGTCACAAATCTACCGACTTCAGTTATTCTTTGTACATATTTTTTATCAAGTTCTCGTTACTAGTTCTTTGTTAGCCAGCCCAACTATCGAAGAGGCATTCATTTTTTCTTTTTTCTATAATTCTAAGTAATTAGCATTATTTAAACTTTCTTTGCTTCAGCAATTCGTGCCAGACGATATCGTAGTGAAGATTGGAGAGGCCATTGAATCATGGTTTCTTTTCACTCTTATTTGGTCTGTGGGCGCTACATGCAATAATGAGGGCAGGCGAAAATTCGATATGTATCTACGAGCGAAGCTAAAAAAGATGAAGGTGAATGCCAAATTATAGAATTCTTTCTTTTCCTTAGTTGTTTTATCCACAATCCTACAATGACAGTTTGTTCTGAAATATCCGATTTACCCATCGAAGATGAATGATACATAAATAAATTCCTATTTACAGAACCGAAATAAATCTCCCCTATTCTGTGACAGTCAGTCTCGAATCAGAACTATATTCATCATATTTCGTTTAAGCGATGTAGGAATGGTTGTTGAATTTTCCCACAGTGATATGCGTGTTCCCTGAGTTTCTAATGAATTTCACATTGCCTTTCTTCCCAAAAGGTATTCTTCTCCAGATTGACTGAAGTTTTGACCCCGCGTAGGTCTTATCATCATTCCTCATTGAACTCAAACACGAGCAGAGCAACATGTAGTCTCTACAGGCAATTTTAAAGTCATCTTAAAAACGAAATAAGTAATGTAGCTTATTGTAATAACAAATACCTTCTTCTATCCTCGACGATCCCACTAAATAATGCATTATGGGAAAATCTTAGATTTCCTCGAAATACTTATCTGCACTGTGGCCCAGGGGCACTCGTGATAATGTCCCTATACGCTACACTGCTTGGGTTCGAGTCCCGTTGCGGGTGATTATGCAATATAGGCGAGGTTGAAACTTTTATCTACTACTGATTGGATGAGAATGACCTTTTGGAAGTTAGGCTTAGCAAAATTTAATGGAATTGTTATGCCTACCATATAATTGTGGGAGAACTCAATCATCAATGCTTTATTACTTTAAACAAAATAGAGTTATACAATATTTATTCAGGACCTCATTCTGTTAGCTTAATCATGTCTCCCAGTCTATCATCACTCTAGCTTAAATGGTGCATCTATAACGAATATGTCATAGTTGTTTATTAAGTTAACCCCACGATGTTTTGCCGGTCGATTTAAATCATCATTCGGTTCATAAAGAGCTGAATGCAGAGGATAGGAAAAGCTATAACTTTAAGCTTAGCCTATAATAAATGAACTACGCAAACGAATTTCACTAGATGGGCTAGATATTAGTATAAAAGTCTGCATTGATTAACAGTAATTAAGCAATTATCCGCATTGGTAGCTTCCAAATATTGTTAATCTGATGTGGTCTTCTCTAATGCCAGATAACAAAAGTGGGGTTTAAAAATATTCCTCAAAATATGAGTGTACTAGCAATTTAAGTACCCTATATATATATATATATATATCATTAAGGCCTACACGCAATTTTACAAATTATTTAAAAGAATATATGCTTGAATAATATGGTTTGAGGCTCATAGGACCTCAGATACAAATATAGAATAATGAAAAGCGTATCAGAAGATTGCTATGGCCGAAAAGTACTTTTCAATATTGCCTATTTACAGGTCTATCGACCCTTCCCAGAAGAAGGCTTGGTCTACGATTACCGATTTGATGATTCCGGATTTTTCAACATGGAGCAGAAGGAGGAAGATGACGAGGAGTTAAATGGACCAAAAGAAAAGAAGGTAAGTGGGAGTTACTCTCCTTGATGGGCATTCCTCATGATGGTCATAATTAGAACACCAGTCTACTGCATGACATTGCTAGGGGGCCTTCATTTCGGATGAAACTGCAGGAATAAAAGATTCGTTGGTCGATCTTACCAGATGAGGACGGATAAACCTCGTTGTACTACAGCCATTTGGTTTGTATACGATATTCAT